ACCGTTACCTATCCGTGTATTGATGCGAAGTATTGGCATCGTCAACGTAGGCCAGCTTATGAGATGATTCAAATAAAATAGCTCACATTGTTGAAATTGAGTAATTAATCTAAATGCTTCAAACTCTGATCAAAAATTAAAGCTATCAAATTCAAAATTAACAGACAAAATGATTTAATTTGAACATTTTTATCCCGAGGCTGAACGCTGATTTTATAACACGGTTCATCAACTTCGAAACTGGCATTAATTCTAAAGAGCGCAAACCGCGAAGCCTTTAAACGATCGTCACCACTTTTCCATGCTGAGATAATAGCAAAATCTTCCCACAATTTGGTCCAAAAATCCAGAGGGAGTCCATGAGATAACCAGGCATTAAGTGATGAGCCTCAGGCCACCACGTGAAGGCTTTTGTGAGGACAAAATTGTGGTAGGAAAGATCTTTATCAAATTTGCATTAAATTATCTGTTGCACTTGCATTATGGCGTTATTCTGGAATCATATATTAAGGTAAACGCCACATACTGATTTGAATTTAATATTTTCACTGATTTCTGTAAAAAAAAAACAATTTAATCTTGATTTTGAATCAAACTTTGAAAATGTTCACAGGATTTGTTGAAAATATAGACACAAGGGACCCTAGTGATCAGACAATATACCATCGCTCCACTTAAACCCATCAACGGCAAATTATTGGCTGCGTATGACAGTCTAATGGTAGGGACTGGGTGGGTGACTCTATTGATGCACTCGTGACCGTATACTCTCTGATCTCGTTACTCAAGGAAGAGTCGTGCATAGTACAACAATGAGATATTAGGAAAAGATTAGAAAAGAGTTCACAGTGACACATTTCTCTTTTATTTCCGTCATCTGATGAATGGATTTGATTTCGCAAGGATTCATTGAGAAAAGTAATTGATATCGTAGTTAGTGATACGGTGGATTTTACGTTGAAAAGTTGGCGCACATAAATTTTAATGTAGCGTTCAAGTCAAAAAGTTCCAAGTTCAATAAACAGATGAGCACATTACACTTACCACTGTAGTTGTACCACTTACCCCTTACTTACCATCGAAAGAGCGTTTCAATTTTTCATGCGTTTCAATTTTTGTCAATTTCAAAACACACGCAGTAACCGAATGCAAGCGCACCGAAAATGCAAAGTTTTTTCAACGATTCTTCAGCGTAAAAACAGCGAAGAATAACTAACTCATTTTTAAGTTCATCTATTAATGTCGCATGATCGATGCCCTCAACTTTATTACAACTACAGAGGACGAGTACGTGACGTAAAAAGATTCAATATTATATGAATTATAGTAAATAATTTCACTTCAAAGTTATGGGCGATTGCATATACAAATTTCAACGTGATGGCTTCCAATCCTTTGACAACTATTATTCTGAATACTAGTTTTGTTAATGGGATGAAGAGTCGGAAATTGTCCGATAATAAAATGTAGATAAGGAATTGTGACAGACTTTTCCTATTTAGATCAACGAAAATTGATTTTATTTTTTTTTCTCTATTGAGATCAATAAAACTTGATTATATTCTATTCTCTACTCAGACCAACAAAAACTGATTATATTTTATTCTCTATTCAGATCAACAAAAACTGATTATATTTTATTCTCTATTCAGATCAACAAAAACTGATTATATTTTTATTCTCTATTTAGTTCTACAAAACCTGATTATAGTCTATTTTCTATTTATTTCTACAAAACCTGATTATAGATAGGCTATTCTCTAATTAGTTCTAAAAAATCTGATGATAATCTATTCTCTATTTAATTCTAAAAAACCCGAATTAAAAGAAATTTGATGCTTTAAAAATAAACTAGATGACTCGGCTAATTCGATGTGTCATCGCCGCCGACCTCGTGGCGCCCGCTGCGTCCGTTGAGCTTCTCGCTCACCGTCCTCCGACATGACGAAACTGACGCGGGCCAGAGCCTTCCTCGTAAATTAGGGGATAAAGCCGGTCATCCTGCTGCATATGGCCGGACATATTCTCTGGTGGAATATATTCTCTGGTTGCATGATATTATCTGGTAGGACATATTCTCTAGTTAGATATAAATTTTATGGCCGGACATATTCTCTGGTGGAATACATTTTCTGGATGGATGATATTATCTTGTAAGACATATTCTTAGCTTGAATATATTCTCTGGTTAAATGATATTTGGTAGGACATATTCCCTTGTTGAATATGGTTTCAGGTTGGATATATATTCTCTAGCAGAACATATCCTCTGGTTAGATGATATTATCTGGTAGGGCATATTCTCTGGTTGGAGATATATATTATATGGGCGTACATATTCTCTGGTACATATGGGGTACATATTCTCTTGCTGGAGTCATTCATTTGCATTTTAATTATTCAGATTCCAGATTTTTGGGGACGTAGGTGCGATCGCAATGCTGAATGGAGCTCAGAAAAGCCTCCGAATTATTGTCGTGCTGAAGATACCAGGGAAATATAAATTCCGGGAGTACAAATTAAATTTTCGTTGAAAACCTTGCTCGAAAATTACTCTGCCTGGACAAGAACTTCTGCAGAAAAAGTGAGTCTTAGTCAATTCTAATTTGTTTCAATCAGAAAAAAATCTATAGAAAATCTCACTTCCATCTCCGATGAACATCAGCCAAACTCGAGCATAAATTACAAATCATTTACAAATTAACAGCGATTTTTTACGAGGCATCAACAGACGCAGTTCGTCTTTACACGGCTCGACATCATGCTAAGTTATGGCCGCTATCATACAAATCATGTCATGCATAATTTTTCGATTTACGACAAAGGTGCGACCTTCAGTGAGGTTCTTCCAGGATCTCCGTTTTCTACGCATCCTCTGCTCTGTTTTCTAAGCGACGCTGTAATTCACGATAAAACACGTTCGTCTCTTACTTTCTATATCTTCACCAAATATAATCATTTTAACAGACGTTCTGCTCCTAAAAATTCCTAAAAATGTGATCATTGTGAAATTGCTCGGATAATTGTAACTTGAATTTTTTTTTTAACTTGAAAGCATCAGGGCAATTTAATTTGCACGAAAGGCATTTCTTACGCAACTTGAGCTGATCTTGAATTTGTATGTGCTTAATAAGTACGTAAAAAAACTAATTTTATAAAAATATCAGAAAACCTCTATTTTAATTCTAGATTATATTTTGTTACCGCTTCCTAAAAGAAGTTAGAAAATTATAATTCCCCAAACTCTGCCTCCAAACCATCATGTATAAGGGATGTAGAATGGAGCATGACCGGATCTCTGAGCATAATAATTGGCGAATAGCAATATATTACAATTCCCCGGCGCTCATTGTTACTCAGATACATTATTTTCCTAAATAACATATTACTAATCATTTTCATGAAATGTGAAAATAATTAAATTTTTTCATTATAATTGTTACTTACTTTGAATTGAGTTTATATTTTTGAAGACTGAAATTTAGATTCAGTAGAAAGAAATCAATTATGGTAATTCAAAGTTCGTAGTATAAGAAAATCTGTGAAATCACAACAACTAAAAATGGGATCTTCCACGAAATTTTACAGCCTCCGGAAGCGTGGGGGCGTTAGGAATTCGAAGTCCCGCCACTGACGCCTAATTCAGAGTCTAGGGATGGAAGGTTGGTTGGGAAATTAAATTTGTTTATGAAATTTTTGATAATGTAAGGCTTTGGTCTGCGATGCAATTATTTATCTAAATTTATGAGAATTTCTAGGTGTAGAGCATTACTGTGTTATAATATGAAAATTACTAGTGTCTTGTAACCTTTAATTTAAGGTAAGAATGATAAAATCTAATTATTTTAGAATGGTTTCGTTGCAGAATAATTGATTCGGAGTAGCTGAAAAAATAATATTCTCATCAATTTCTTAGTACACTATATTCTTATATGACGAAACAGTATGGTAAAGCATTTCGAAAAGAGTAAACTTGAGCCGGTCTTGTGTCTTCATAGAAATTGATTGTTATAGTTGCGTGATTTTCCTTGATTTTGTTATACCGCATGAAATTTTCAAATAATACATTGACAGTTACTCGTTAAATTAGGAGAGCAACACTAGGAGCCAGCTGGTCGCTTGCTGAGGTGAGCATCACTAGGGGCCAGCTGGTCGCTTACCGAGGTGAGCATCACTAGGTGCCAGCTGGTCGCTTGCTCACTAGGTGCCAGCTGGTCGCTTACCGAGGTGAGCATCACTAGGGGCCAGCTGGTCGCTTACTGAGGTGAACATCACTAGGGGCCAGCTGGTCGCTTACTGAGGTGAACATCATTAGGTGCCAGATTTTCTATAAGGGTCGTAAGCGTCACAAGGTTCACAGGGCTAGCGTGATCGACTGACCTCAATTAAAGAGAAATAAAATCATTACTCGGTGTCATGAAGTTGTAATTACTTTGTCAAAAAAAGTTGTTAAGTAATGCCATGGCAGACTTCGAAATGATTATTCGAAATGATTGATTGATTATCACTTCCTTACGAAATAAATATTATTTTATTGATCAAAATGAAACAATATGAAGAAACATTGCCGCGAGTGAGTGCAAGTATTCCATCGCATAAAATGCAAATTTGACGATTTCAGCCACGTGGAGGCTCCGTAGTTTCCTGGTCACATAATTATTGAAGAACATATAAAATTGTTTACTGATCTTCTTCGTCTCTGGAGATGAAATTTTTCATCAATCGTAATAAACTATTGTGGCCCGTTTTCACTAACAAAGATTTAACTTGAAATAACTCAATTAATTACTATCAGCAGAAAATATCTTGGATTGTACACCGTGGCCACGACCATTGTATGCCGCGTCAAACAAGCCACATAATTGTAACAGTTGCCCGAGGTTTCAGCAGCGAGTGATTCATCCTTCCATTTTGGTGTATTTGTCACACTTGTGTCAGGCTGCTGTGAAGAAAGCAAGTCCTAAAGACCTCTACCTCCCGCTGGGTCCATTACCAGCACAATGTACAGAAAGCTACGCCTCAGCTGCTCACCCAAAACAATACCTGTAGCTTTGTCGCCTGTGAAAGGTAGGAACCTAGGTGGCTTTGCTGCTCTTTTTTGTTTGTTTTATTACATGTTTTCGAGGAAATTTACTGAAGTTTTGGTATTAAACATTTTTTTAAGTTGATTTCCGGTCGATCAAATACTGAAATAAAGATTAAGTCTCGTACATGACGCTTGAAAATTCCCCGTGGACCATGCAAATGGATAAAATTTTCTATTTCGAAAAACTAAATATTTTTCAAACTAGCATGAAATTTTGCTTGGCAGAAGTTTTTTCCCGAGGTAACTGCAGGGGGAATAATCAGAATTCAATCAGCAGTAAACAAGAGCAATTATAACGAGGTGCGGATGAGTATTACGAGGCCACTTGGTTGCGACACAGCTTGGGTCAAACAAATTCAATGAAAATCTCAGCTAAGGTCACATTCTCGTGCTCGCTTCACTGACTCTGAGCAGCAAACGTCTTCATTTTTTTTGTCGCCGGGGCTCTTTTCCTCAAGAAAGCTTCTAGGTTGTCCGTCGTCGAAGCTCGCTTGAAATTGCTCAGGAATGTTTCTAGACGTAACATTGACATACGAAACTATAACACCATTCGATTTTATAGTTTCGTAAAGTTACTTGATCAATGTCCATAGTTTATGGTTACTTTCGTTGTTTATCTATTCGTTTCTGTACTGTCAGCAGATTCACTATACGTAACGACTGACATCTCACTCAGCTGTTTCTAGGGAATCACACGAGAAAAAAGTATAACATAAAATTAATATTTTTGCTGACATTCCATGCCCCAGAAAATACACGAAATTAGTTTAGACTTTTGTTCTATGCTATTTTTGGATTCTGACATGACAAAATGTTAAGATGAGTGCAAAATTACAAAATTTATTCTTTTGCTACCGGCAATCAAGTTAGGGTTACAACTATGCATTGTATAGAGTCCAAAGTTATGTTTTCCATGCAAATCCGCAGCTTTGAATCTAGAGAAGACTGTTGTATCCAACTATGCGTGATGCACCCAAATATCATGCATTTAAATATAATGCAACAAATTATAATGCACCCAATTATAATACAGCGAAATATAAATCGCCCAATTATAATGCAGCCAAATACAATATACCCAATTATAATGCACCCAATTATAATGCAGCGAAATATAATGCACCCAATTTTAATGCACCCAATTATAATGCACCCAATTATAATGCACCCAAATATAATGCACCCAATTATAATGCAGCCAAATATAATGCACCCAAATATAATGCACCCAATTATAATGCAGCCAAATATAATGCAGCCAAATATAATGCACCCAATTATAATGCAGCCAAATATAATGCACCCAAATATAATGCACCCAATTATAATGCAGCCAAATATAATGCAGCCAAATATAATGCACCCAATTATAATGCAGCCAAATATAATGCACCCAAATATAATGCACCCAATTATAATGCAGCCAAATATAATGCACCCAAATATAATGCACCCAAATATAATGCACCCAATTATAATGCACCCAAATATAATGCACCCAATTATAATGCAGCCAAATATAATGCACCCAAATATAATGCAGTCAAATATAATCTACCTAATTATAATGCACCCAAATATAATGCACCCAATTTTAATGCACCCAAATATAATGCACCCATATACAATTTGATGAGCCCAAATAAGCCTCCGATCTAAGGGGTTGGTCGCAAGTTAAGTGGTGCACGCAGCCCGCGTTTGTTTTGACGGAACGGCTGCCGCCGCAGACATCCTGCAGCTTTAGAATGTGCCGTGGCCGCGACCAGTGCTGGCACCAGAAGTTCAGCTCCAAAGGTCATGCCAGGTCGGTATGCTCTCATCAGAAGTACCTCAGGGGTCAACTCTAATCCTTCTTATCCTGATTATGATCTGTAGGGCACCTCTCAGCACTGCGACCTCTAATACCGGCACTCTTACTCTACTTAATTTCTAATTAGTGCTCACCTTCGAAATGAGGTTCTCAGGAAGCGTTACGTAATGATGAGGTATTCATTGGAGGAGTCTTAGCAGTAACAAACAATAAGTGTGGAGCATTGTAATCATTATGAATAAGCTGGATTTACGTATGTGTTTTGTTCTCGTCATGGAACAATAGACTTATAGGGTATAGGCTCTCGTACTCGACAGGCTACCCTTTCTTTCTTGAAGATTAACTGTACACTTTTGGTACGCAAAATTTTTGGTCCTAGGTAGAACGATAGGTATAATATCTTGCCAAGCTGTAAAAAGGGAAGTTCTTGTTACAGATTAGATTATCATAATAAACAAATGTGAATTCTTACGTCTTACATTGATTGCGTTTCTTATTTCCTCGACCTGTTCATTGCAGATTTTTCCCTTTTAATTTGTATGAATCGTTCAATTCTCCTATCTGACTTGATGCGCTTCTAAATCAAATGTTTCTAAAAATTTGAAGTAAAACTTATTAGCGAAAATTGATACTTTATTAACAAATTCAGCATTCGCATTTTCAATCAATCCCACTAACAAATACTACATTGAATGATTTTCTCCGGTGGGCAAAGCTATCATGGAATTCCTACCCAATCTCCGGTACAACAAATCTCAGGGTATTAAATAGCATGAAATGAGCGCAGGGAGCGAGAACGCAATAAAGTTCTCGCATCCTTTCTGAAGCGGAGAGCAGCAGGTTCATCCGACCAGCAATTTTGCAATAATTTTTCAGCAATACTCCGTGCATTTAAACGAGCCACGAGCTTATTTTTTTCTGATTTTGCAAATGAGGAAGCGAGTAACAGAAGCTCTCCTTATATTTACGCTCCTGGAGCAACGAAAGCCTCTTATTTCGAGTAAAATACAAGGCGGACTGATCTATTTTGTAGGTCTCGAAGAAAATTAGGACAACATTGTACAATGTTTTATTACGACATGACAAAATTTTGCATGCATTTTATAATATTCGACTTTGAAAAGTGCTGCCATATGTTTAACGAAGTATTCTGAATTTTCCGCAGCGATAAGAATCTATAAGAAGGCCTTTGAGAATATTTATCAAATTGAATTTTCAAAATTTTGTAGGGTGGTGCAGGGGAAATGAAAATGGTATGGCTTCATTTGATGAACTTTAGAGAACTAAAAAATATCGTAGAAATTAACAAAATATAGACGCGTGCCGTGCTAATTAACGAAGAATAAAGCCGTACCATATTTCCTATTTTTTATATTCACTTTAGCGCATAATTAATATATCATTGCCTCTACACATCAAATAATATGTTCACATAAATCACACAATGCGGATAAAAGGATCTCATTACCTTAAGTTAATTAACAGACATATATCCAATAAAAGTTATTACTTCGCACGATAAATTTTAAGAGAAATTCTTAATAGCCACGATAACGATTTGATTACATTTTAGAAGCTAAATTTCACATTATTCACTTCTTCAAATATTTTGCCGCTAACCCAATAATTCACTGCACGAACAAAAGTTCAGAGCTAAACAACTTTTACGATCGACGATGTAGAGCATTTATGAACACCACATCAAAACACAATGCACATAACCACATGCCACATGCCACATAAACGTAAAGTTAATTTTATGATTCATAAGTCTCAAGCACAAGTCTATTTAATATAGATAATTGGGTTTACATTGAGCGGACGTAATGAATTTCGATCCTCTATAGACATCAAAAGTGTGATATCCTCATTCGGAATACATGACCGACAGTTAATGGTTTCTAGCTGTAGAAGTTTCTTGAAATTTCATTGCTATTGAAAATTATCCCGACTCCTTTTCGAGCACTTAGTAGGTTTTATTACGAACTAATCAGATAGTAACTATTAAAGTTCACGCTTTCATAACAAATGAACCTTTACATTGAAGAAATATTTTAAATCCAAAAAATGTGTAGTTGGTGGTTAAAGCTATATATCTGTAACGGTTGAAGTAAATTTTATGCGATATACGAAGCAACATTTCTTAAATCATGGTCTCTATATCAGTGATGGCTGAAGAAACATTTCTATGATCGATACCGCTATATTTCAATAAGCAACATGGCAATATTTCTACGATGAACCTACATACATTAAAACACACGCTTCTGATTGTTGTGGCCGTGCCTTTTCAGGTCTTTCTATTCATGTTCACGGGATGCAAACAAGACGCGGACGGCAGATCGATATATGAACGAAGGGGCACTTCGCTGTATATGCCACGCAAGGGTCGGTCTGTTACGAGGGTATCATGTTTACCATTTAACGGTCGCCGATCACAACAAATCGATGACGATCGCCGGTGCAGAAAGTAGACAAAACGAAATGCCACTCAACGTAGTATGAGAAATTTTATAATGTGAAAATTTTTCGGATAAAATGGAATTCGATAAAAAATTGTTCGTACTTCACAACTGATTGAGTTGCACGCATCACAAAAAAATATAACTCAGTACTCACTGCAGTGAGTGACAGAGAGCGCATTTTCTCGTCGACAAAAACATGAAGTCACGGACGGACAGACAGACGGACAGACAGACGGACAGACAGACGGACGGACAGACGGACATGGCGAGAGAAAATGCGCTAAAAATGAGTCTATGAAACACAGAAATAAAAAAATCAAAAATAATTCTCGATTTAACATTTCCAGCATTTCCACTGTAACACATCAACATTGTATATCTTCCGGTTATTAGTAGCTCATCACCAGATTTTTGCCTAAAATTAATGTTAAGAGGTACATGGGAACACTTTTTTCCATTGTACTCAACGGATTTTTTATCGGGTGACAATTTCATTATGAAGCCATTGGATAACAATTATGTGTAGGCTCGTTAGGCACTTCGAGATAATTGTCAAGGGTTTATCCTTGAATCAAGGCCGTGGGTGCCCTTGTTTACGTTACCCTTAATCCTTTCCGTGCGTTCATCTTTCATCTTTTAAGCCTTTAAGCTCAAAACTTCCGGTCCTTTTCTCGTTTTGTTGTTTGTTGAAAGGTTCCAAGTGTTTCTGTGATTCTTTTCCAATTAAAATTGTACAGTTTTCCAATTAAAATTATGTAGTATGTGCGCTCATCCATGTTTAAATGCATGCTATCGTCCTGAAATGTCACCTACGAAATTTGAAACAATGAGCAGAATAATCGCACTTAAGATTACTCTATTAATAATCCACTATATCAGAGCATCCATTTACTCCTAAGTTTAATCGAAAATTACTGAATACCAACTCCGCTCCACACTCTCTAAATTACTTAATTTTCAGTGATATTTTACACAACGATGTAAATTTAGACATAGCAATTTATGCTGTATAATGTGCCATACTGAATGATGTTTTGCACTGCACCAATCATATTATAGAGTTGTGCGATTCACAATTTAACAAATATAGTAGAGTGTTCATCAACATTGTCCATCGCCCTTGATGTTCTAAAAGTTCTCAGGCTGAAGCAATTTCGACCTGCCCAGCTCAGGTGGAGATATGATCACGGGCACGCGTATGGGAAGAAGATACGTGAAGAGACCAGACGGGCAAATGTTTCGTGAGCACATTGAATGGACAGTTAATCGATACATAATATGCACTCAGAGTTCGAGAGGAATGTTACACTTAGCACTTCATAATAGAGGATATTGGTGACGTATATTACTCTGTGTGAAAATAAGATGATGCGTTAGATTGATTGCATGACTTACGTTAGTTAATTGATTGGAAAATGTTATGCGGCTATGTGCGCATGATCTGTAAATGTGAGGCTTAATGATCTAATTATCTACTTGAATACATTTTTTATATTTAATTATCAGGTGAGTTTAATATGGATTATAGCAAGTTATTAAATAATTTCTGGTTGCATTGTTTATTCCTACCTGAATTTTGTAACCTAGTAGAGTGAGGTACAATCAAGTCATAAATGTATCGCTATATAATTATGTAAATTCTCGATATTCAAAAAGCGCAATGTTTCTCATTCATATGAAATTAATGTGCAAACGGAAATTATTTCATTTGTATAATTAAAGCGACTGTGCATTGTCAGGCTCTGGCAAGGGTGGGCCTTTTTATAGCGGGACAAATTCGATAGTTTCCTACAAATTCGAGTGTACGAGAAGAGATAGATTGTTTAATGGAAGCTGAAGTACGTAATCAGAGGTTGTTGCTTGAATAAAAATCGCTATTTCAACGAAAATTTTTAATCAAACTGAAAAACGTTTAGTGTTAAAATAAAAGACGTTAATAATAAAATGTTTAATGAAATGAAGAATATTTTAAAGTAGAATATCAACAAAAATTTTTCCTCGAATACAGCAAAGTTCAAGCAAAACCGCACGAGAAACTATAATGAAATATGTATTGTGATGGGGAGGCTGGAGCTGCTCTGCAGGATCAGGTATCGCCTGCACATGTGCCGTGACCGCGGCTTCTATACACGAGGGAGGTTCCTTATTATAATGTTATTATAATATATATTATACATTATCTATTATTAATTTTCTATCACTTATTATATAATAAATATTATGTATTATAGATTTTTTTATGATGTTCCTTATATTTGAAATAAGTTTTGTAATCGGATTGCTAGAGGTATGGATTTTTAAATGTTGATAAATATTCATTTTTATCAATCCTTACTCCCCTGCCCTTACTTCCGTCACTCCCCTTAACATCCTTCACTCCTTCTCCCCTCACTTCCATCACTCCCCTCATCATCCCTCACTTCCTCTCCCCTCACTTCCATCACTCCCCTCATCATCCCTCACTCCCCCCTCACTCCCCGCCTAATCACTCGTCACAATTCAGCGAGTGTATCATGAACGGCAGCGCAGTGAGGCGTGATGGTAGTGGCGACAGCCCGAGGGCGAGCGCCAAACACGCGGTCTTCTTATGGTGGAGACTCGGACGATCCCTGGTCCCATGCCACGCTAATAATTATTGAGCCAGTTTATGTGTCATGCTTCTTGTCGCCAGTTTGTGTGTCATGCTTCTTGTCGCCAGTTTATGTGCCATGCTTCTTGTCGCCAGTTTATGTGCCATGCTTCTTGTCGCCAGTTTATTTGTCATGCTTCTTGTTGCCAGTTTACTTGTCATACTTGAGGCTTGTCGCCAGTTTGCGTATGATGCTTGAGGCTTGTCGCCAGTTTACGTATGATGCCTGAGGCTTGTCGCCAGTTTATGTGCCATGATTCGTGTCGCCAGTTTACGTATCATGCTTGAGGCTTGTCGCCAGTTTATGTGCCATGCCTCTTGTCGCCAGTTTACGTATCATGCTTGAGGCTTGTCGCCAGTTTATGTGCCATGCTTCTTGTCGCCAGTTTATGTGTCATGCTTGAGACTCGTCATCAGAATGCGTTTCAGATCCAGAGCCAGATTTATGATAAAATTCTGTCGCTGTTCTGCAGCTTTTGTGCAGGCCTGATACAGACTTCTTATTGCCAGGTGATTCAAAGTCCAGGTCTTTTGTAGCATATGAGGTTCCAGGTATTTTTTTATAGAGATGTCATGCTCCAAGTTGTTGTAGCCAATTAGGAGTTCCAGGAGTTCTGTTACGAGCGTTTAATTCTCCACGTTTGTTGTTGCGATATTTCACGTTGTTATTATAAAACTTCATGCCATACGTGTGTTGTAATAAGTGTTTCATGGGCCATTCGCAACGTTCTCAACTTTCTAACGAACACTCTACACTTGATTTACTATCACCCTATGCAACATTTACTCTGTTTAATGCTAAAATGTTTCTTTATTTCTTTTTAACCTTAGTCATTTCCCTCAGCCTTCCTTCGCGCATCCCTCATGATCACCTCGTGTTGCCCTCACTCGATCCGGCAGCTCCCCTCACCAGCTCGCTCTTGGGTCTCTGAAGACCCTCGAACATCCCTCACATTAGACCGCAATGAATTTAATTTAAGAGCTCTTTGATTTGCCGGTCTTTTGGCTCACCACTGAATGAGTTAGTCGGTAATTTTGGGACCTGATGTTACCCTTAACGATTAAAGCCACCACAGTCCTGGGACTGTGAACTTGTAAACTTACGAATATTTAAGGAATTTTTTCAATTTGTCGATTGGAAAAAGTCGGTAAGTAGTCGGAGGATTGTGCTGTTTATATTCCTCTAGTCACTCTGCTGCTCCTAGTCACTCTACTGCCTCTAGTCACTCTGCTGCTCCTAGTCACTCTGCTGCCTCTAGTCACTCTGCTGCTCCCAGTCACTCTGCTGCCCCTAGTCACTCTGCTGCTCCTAGTCAGTCTGCTGCTCCTAGTCACTCTGCTGCTCCTAGTCACTCTGCTGCAAAAAAATGTGAACGCTGAAAATAAAAAGAACAATTCATCAACAAAGCACATCTTAAACTGTAATATAAATTGAATATAAGATTACCATTATCTGGATTGATCCATGCGCTAGTCAATATATTGATGCGCAAGAAATTACGTGTTTTAATTTGATGATGGCAATAATAATATTATCAGATTCCATAATAACTTAATTCGAGGACGCAATGTTATTCTATAATTTTAGAAGTTACATTTTCTAAAATTTTCATAAATTTTATTAATTTTTCATGAATTTCATTAATTTTCCATAAATTTAAATATTTTTTCATACATTTCATTAATTATTCAAAAATTTCATTAATTATTCATAAATTTCATTAATTATTCATAAATTTCATTAATTATTCATAAATTTCAGTAATTTTTCATAAATTTTATTAATTTTTCACAAATATTGCTAATTTTTCATTAATTTCAATAACTTTTCATAAATTTCATTATTTTTCAAAAATTTCATTAATATTCCATAAATTTCATTAATTTTTCATAAATTTCAATAATTGTTCATAAATTTCCTTAATTGTTCATAAATTTAAATAATTTTTCATAAATTTCATTAATTGTTCAAAAATTTCAATAATTTCTCATAAATTCAATTAATTTTTCATAAATTTCATTAATTTTTCATAAATTTCATTAATTTTTCATAAATTTCATTAATTTTTAAACAAGATTTTCATCCAATACTTTGTATTTCCGGTCTCAGGACTCGCACTCTAAACGCACCGCGTTGCCGTACTCACCTCGACATTAAAGAGAGTACCTCGACATTAAAGAGAGTAACAGCAACGACATTAAAGAGAGTACCTCGACATTAAAGAGAGTAACAGCAACGACATTAAAGAGAGTACCTCGTCATTTTAAAGAGACTAAAGCAACACAAGACCTCATGGAATATTACAGTGACACGCGGTTTTTCCTGGCTTGATTTTGACGCATTGTATCACCGCTTCTTTCAGGAAAAGAAAATATTTAGAAAGAGCATGTATCCGAAATAATGTCATTTGGTTTATCCAACATTGTTCGCAGTGTCTGCCTGTTTTAAATAATAAGTTTAAATCAGCTGATTAATTTTGTATCAGTTTGTATTGAATATGATAACTGTTTTTATTCTCTATACTGATTCATCGCACATGGTGACCTTCATCATCCTTCGTTGTTTCAACAATATTATGATTTTTATCATAGTATTCAGACTATTAATAATAATTGCACCCAGAAAGAAGCATTTTAGCTTGGGTGGCAGCTCCAATTTATTACATATTTCATATAATTAATTTATGATTTCACTCAAGCTTTTAATATTATTTCGCATCACATTTTCCTGTAATCTGTTTCTGCATGCATGTATATTTTCAAGAAATACAGTTATTTTTATATTTTAATTCAATTTTAGCACGAAATAGTGTACTGCCATTGGCTATTAGATTTAAACTTTATATACTCGTACCCGACACATCAGCACTCTATAAATATTCTTTTAACTTGTGATCGATTTAACGCCCATGTTGTGCTAATCAACACTGATAAAATTCCAAGCGAATACAGAACATCGGCCTAGATGAGTAAAGAAGAGACAAGGACCAGAAATGGTCATGTTTCCTCAGAAGAAGACTGATGTGAAGGTTACTATGGCTTCTCCAGCCCTAAGGAACATGTAAAGGAGCTCCGGTTAAGGGGAAGGGTGTCTCCAGGATTAATCAGGTCTTCAATGGATCTATCAAATTAAAGGCTCGACCGAGACAGATTCCTAGATTGGAATTTGATGCCTCAGTGCTGGAGGGAAGATTTCACTGCCTATCTCTCGAACGCAAAAGGTGTTGAAATTGTGAATTTCGAATATGAAATTTCAATATTTATTCAATTTGTAGTTTTAGTGGATGCCTTCCGTGAATAAATGTGACTGTATTGAGAACAGCGAATCAGATTCTGAGTGAAAATATTATTTTCAGTCATGCAGAAACGAACGAACGAGAACAAATTTGTGTGTTAAATTTAACAATTTGACCCTATACAAATAATAATAAGGTAAAATGAACTTCAAAAATTCCAAAATTTATTTGAAACAACGAAGTCAAAACTAAAACTTCTACGAAAGAAACCTAAAAAGCAATAAAAAATTTAATAAATCTACAGAATTTGAAGGTTTCATAATGAAAGATTCCCTTGAGATTAAGTCAGACACAAGTTTTGCACTGAAAAGAACATCTGTCGCCGGAGAGGAATCAGCAGTGCTGTGAAGCCACCTCTCAAATATCCAATAATTCTGCGGTTACGAAGAACAAATTACGCGCACGCGTTCACATGTAAACGAGCTGCACAATGTCGCCGCGACCCTCGAACATCACTCAACATCGCTGTCGTTGTTGACCGAACCACTCGAGCACGCCACTCCAGACCACAGGCTTGACTTCACAACACAAAAGTAAAGCTATTAATTACTCACGCTTGGAAACGCTTCCTTGCCGGTCCAAGTCTATGAAATTTCCCTGCGGCTCAAGCGTTTGGCGTGTTTTAATACGCAATTGATAGGAAATTCGTGTTGAAATAGTGAGGCTATGAATGCTAATGAAAAAAAAAATCGTTGTCGAACATTTTACTTTCTCTAAATTCAAGGATCAGTAGTTTCTCAATTATATTATTCAATTTATAACACATTCAAGCGAAGTATTTGTGTTATTTTTGCGTAATTATTACCGGTGCAGTCGAACCTCGCAAATGATTTGAAGTGAATGGACATTTCATTATTCGGTCATATGGAATTGAACACAATCTATAAGAATTTACTGCATCATCAAACAGTTTAAATCAGTTTCTTGTAGATTATTCTGGAAACCACCATTTGGTTTCGAGAATTTTCACAGTGAAACATAAATACCTAAGAAGAACGAACTACTTTTCGACATGTTAAAGACCTAGCTTAACGAGTCTTGTTAATCTATGCTGTTTTAAGCACTGAGTTTATCATAATTTTTAAAGCTACCCTGTCAGTTCATTTGTCTCCTCCTAAGGCAAAGAACAACATGTGCAGTCAAGAGTCGTACTGAAAAAGTCATGAATTATATTCAAGCTTATTGTATTATGCATAGTACGATTGCCGAATTACTCGTATCATCCGATGAAAGTGTTAATGCAACTCGAATAGAAGCGATTTGTGTTATCAGAAAAATTCGAAGCCTGGGAATCTGGTCTTCGAATTTTGTAATCTAGGAACTGTATTGAGCCTGCAGTCCGGGAACAGACTCGGTAACTGTGGGCTGTGAGTGGATCTTTTGTTCAGAGTCTGGAGTCTAAAGTCGAAAATGTAATAGCCTTCATTTCGATTTTATCGTGACTGATTTGCTTTAGGCAGAACGCAATAGTCTCAAAACTAAGTAAAAATTTTAGTCAAGTGATATTAAAGAAATTTTGAGGAGAACATCAAAGAAGACAGCTATAGGTACGTTCTCACGTCTACAGCTCGTATTTAGCTGCAGGTCGTAGCTACAGGATGTACCTAACATTCTTAAGCTTTCTGCAGGCAATCGCGCGTTTTTATATCATCGCAAATTCACTCAGCAAATCTGAAATCGTACGTTTCATCCCATTGTCTGATTCTTTGCTAGCTGTTGAACGGGAAAGTCAAAATTATTTTGTTTACATAATAGAGGAGAACAGTTCCCTCTTGCTAATTTAACAAAGTAATGTATTAACGATTCATAATGAGTGAATCGTTCTGTTGATAAATAATTCACTCTATACGATGCAGTGCAGTTGCAATAAATGCATGCATACACAAAATGGAGTAGTTTTATTGAATGCCCCAAACCATCCTAATGGTTATAATTGCACTGAATTCACCATTTTTTTAACCAATATTGCTGCACGTCTCGAATACACCGAATATTTAGTATTCTAATGGAGTGCATTTAGTGGAATATTAAGAGCAGTTAGTATTCGTCAAGGCGATCTCACTAATCCCGATCTATGGCCCTGCCTAGCTGTTGTGCATCACGCCGATCCTGCGACTGACAAATTACGATCCCAGGTTTTAGAACCGGAATCTTCATCGAAGTTTAATCTCGCTCAGGAGTTTCTTGCATGCGAACGCGGTCTTTATATTTCTTATATATTTTTTCAGCTTGTGGAGGAGTCTGACTCTATAGGGCCTGGTAGCTTAACTTGGTATTTTGGCAGGCTATGTATCCGCTTGCTAGATTTGATGTTTTTTATGGGATATGTGTTATAACATAATAGAGATGCGGAGAAATTCTAGGGACGTTCCTGCAAGTGCCAATATTCTGATGGATATCGCGGAGTGTTTCAAAAGTTGAATTTCAAGCGGATATTATAATTTCAAGTGTGAAATTGACTATTAAGCTACTAGACGAAATCAGCCTTTAATTGGCCTTTGGGAAGAGTTAGGCACAAGGACTTAAAGCTCAACAACTGGTCGTTGGAGAAACTGAAGAAAAATTATTTTAATAAAAATTGCAACGAAAAGACATGCGGAGTTTTAATGTAGAGCAGGGATCCAAATATCCTCATTGCATGGAGTTTACGTTCACACATTACGACTGCAAAAGCAGACAAGGGAGCAGGCATCCAAATATCACGCGTGGCTGCTGTTAAAGAGCTCGCGTCTCGCCTAGACACGCTCGACAAACATCCTTGCTGTGGCGGTGTCACGCTGGAGCGTCAAGTGGCGTTTTCAAGAGAACTGTTTTGCTCATTAAGATATTCCCTTGCTTATTTGTTTGTGCCTGGGGCGTCTGGGCTCGGCAGGTAGCTTCTCATGATTGGAACGGAGAAATTCTCTGCGTTCTCAATGATCATTTTTGTAATCATTCATTATTTTCAATAAAAAACTGTTTACATTGTGAGTTGCTTTGCATTAGGTGGCGTTGGTCAATTAGTCAATTAATTAATTGAATCACTTAGGCATTCAAGGAGTCTTCCAACTTATGCTTATTAAAATAAGATTAATTTTATTTATG